GATATTTGTAATAACTGTACTATTTAGGCATGTAAGAATTCACACAGGCAAGAAACCTTATGAATGTATGGACATCTTTCTTAATCTCAGTAAGGTAACTTAACATAGAAAAATTCACACAGGAGAAAAGCCTTAAGAATGTACCGAATGTGGGAAAACCTTACTTAAGCATGGTAAGCTGGCTGTATATAGACGAATTCACACAGGAGAGAAACCCTATGAATGTGATAAATGTGGGAATACCTATCGGGAGTACCCTCACTGTACATAGATTAATTCATGCAGGAGAGAGACTGTATGAATATAAAGAATACAGGAAAACATTTCATAGGAAAAGTGAGCTCAGTGTTTGTAGAAGAATTCTCAAGAGAGAGAAGCCTTAATGAATGTAAGGAATGTGGAGAAACCTTTCATGATATGGCTCTACTAATTAGTCATACAAGAATTCACACAGGAGACACACGGTGCCCTTTTGCCTACACGTGACCTCACCACTTGTAGAAGAATACATAAGAAAGAAACAAGAATTTCAGGAATATGAGAACACCTTGGGTGAAACTGATTAAGTAACTAGATATGAAAGACAGAAGACAAAGTTTTTAATGTAATGAATGTGGAAAAAATATTATTCATTAGCCTTTACTGGACATACTTAAACTTATTATCTAAGTTTACTACAGGAATGTAGAAATGCCTTCAGTTATTAAATATCTTAGAACTCTGAAAAATGAGCACAACCATGTATAAAATATCAGAAACCACTCAGGCCATTCAGATCACTTGGCATAGGCGAGCTCAAAATGACATGGCTTTTACATGTTTAGTGAATGTGTGGAGTCACTTAGTGTTTCTTCAAATTAGGATAATTTTGCCCTATTGTAGAAATGGACAGTTGCATTGTCAATTTAATATTTTATTATCAGTGTTACTTGTTTTCTCAGTTCCATGTTAAAATGTTTCTTTCATAACGTCATTTGCTCTTTCCAATAAAATGACAAAAGACATGGCTGAGGGGAAAAGAAAGGTGATTATTAAATATTTAGACAAATGAGGGACTGAAATATTCCCTCACTCTCATTCCCATGGAGTTGGAGACTACTCGTAGCTGACCCTCCCACTGTTTTTCAGAGGCTACAAATCACATGGGAGGAAATTGCCCATCTTTCTCCTGAGGAGCAGCTGGTGGATGTTGTTGTTGTTGTTATGTGCCATCGAGTCGCTTGCGACTCATAGCGACCCTATGCACAAGAGCTCTAAACACCACTCTATCCCGTGCCAACCTAGCCATCCCAAACGCACTTATACCTACCACTCCAGTCACAGAATCAATCCATCTCATCAAAGGTCTTCCTCTCCTTTGCCACATCTCCACTCTGCCAAACATGATGTCCATCTCCAAGGACCAGTTCCTCCTTGCAACATGCCCAGAGTATGTCAGACGAAGCTTCAGAATCCTTGACTCCAAGGAGCATTCTGGCTTCACCTTCTCTAGGACAAACATGTTTGTTCTCCTAGCAGTCCATGGTATATTCAACACTCTTTTCCAGCACCACAGCTCAAAGACATCAATTCTCTTTTTATCATCCCTATTCACTGTCCAACTCTCTGATGCATAGAATGTAATTGCAATGACTATAGCCCAGATCAGGTGCACCTTAGTCTCTACCCTGACGTCATTGCTCTTCAGTACTCATGAGAGGTCCCTCACATCCGACTTTCCCAATGTAATTTGTCTCCTGATTTCCTGGCTGCTGTTACCAAGAGTGTTGATTATGGAACCAAGTAAACAAAAACTATTAACTGTCTCAATCTCTTCACCATCCACACTGATGCTGCCAATTGGCCCAGTGGTGAGAATCTTTGTTTTCTTGATATTGAGCTTCAATCCATATTGAAGACTGTAGTCCTTGACTTTCAGCAGCAAGTGCTTCAGGTCCTCCTCAGTTTTAGCAAGCAGGGTTGTGTCATCCGCATAACTTGTTGATGACTCTTCCACCAATCCTGATGCCACATCCCTCCTCGTATAGCCCACCGTCTCGGATGATCTGTTCTGCATACAGATTGGAAGGGTATGGAGACAAAATACATCCCTGATGAACCTCCTTCTTAATTTTAAACCATGTACTGTCTTCTTGCTCTGTTCTGACGACTGCCTCTTGTTCCAAGTATAGGTTTTGCATTAGCACAATCAAATGTTCTGGGATTCCCATTCTTCTCAGAGTCAGCCATAGCTTGTTGTGATCCACACAGTCAAAAGCTTTTACATAGTCAATGAAGCACAGATAGACATTCTTCTGGTATTCTTTGCTTTCTGCCAAGACCCATCTAACATAATATTGCTAGTACCACGACCTCTTCTAAATCCAGCCTGCACATCTGGCAGTTCTCTGTTGACATATTGTTCCAAATGTTTTTGGATAATTTTCAGCAGAATATTGCTTGCATGTGATATTAATGATATTGTTCAATAATTTCCACATTCCGTTGCATCACCTTTCTTTGAAATGGGAACAAATATCGATCTTTTCCAGTCAGTTGGCCAGCTGGCTCTCCTCCAGATTTCTTGGCACAACCTAGTGAGCACATCCAGGGCAGTGTCTGTTGGTTGAAATATGTCAATTGGTATGCCATCAACTCCTGGAGCCTTGTTTTTTGCCAGTTCCTTCAGAGCAATTTGAAATTCCTCTTCCATCACCATAGGCTCTTGCTCATATATCATTTCATGAAATTCTTCTGTGTCAGCCAATTCCTTCTGATACAGTGACTGTGTGTATTCCTTCCATCTTCTCTTGATACTTCCTGGATCATTGAACATTCTACCCAGTGTATCCTTAAGTATTGCCACCTGTGGCTTGAATTTGTTTTTCAGCTCCTTCAGCTTAAGAAACGCTAAGCAAGTTTGGCCCTTTTGATTTTCCAACTCCAGCTCTCTGCACATTTCGTTATAGTATCTTGCTTTGTCGTCCCGTGCTGCCTTTTGAAATTTTCTGTTTAGCTCTTTTATTTCTTGGTTTCTTCCTTTAGCTTTGGCTTCTCGGCACTCTAATGCAATATTCAGAGTCTCATCTGACTACCCGTGCTTAATATTGGAAACCAGAGATCCATGTTGAAGAGTATTTATTATAGATCCAAACAGAAAGTTGGCTGTAGTCAGATAAAGAAAAAAAATTGTTTTATTCAGCTCAGCTTTCTAATTAGAAGGATTTGAGAGGTGTCTTGAAGCACTGTTTGAATAGGGCACCTCTTTTTCTCTTTGCTTTTAATTGGTGCAATAGGAACTCTCCATTAAATGTACACTGTTCTTAATAACTTACTCTAGGTTAAGTGTTGTCTAACAGGAACATTCTGACATTGCCGTTCCAATTGCATAAACAATAAAGGTGTTTGAGTTGATGAAGATCTTCCATTGCTAATATTCTTATGTGGAGGAATTTCAGATAAAGGTGAATTGTTCCCAGTGCTTTGGGAAAGTCCTTCTTCCAAATCCCTACGTGCGTTTGTATTCTTGTTGATGAGAATGTGAGGCATCCCCTTTGATTGTCACTGAAATGAACTTTATTGTGAAGGTTTGTTTATCATAAAACTTTCAGGATGTTTGCATTCTATTTCTTTTTAGTCAAATTTAGTTTTAAATGTGTTTTTAACAAAAATTTACAGAGAATTTATATTTTCATTCATTGATTGTTGCATATTTTACCCCCTCTTCCTTCCTTCATCCCCCAGTTCACTTTTTCTCAATATGCATCCCCCCAGGTTTTTTTTGTCATGATACATATAGTGCCTAATCATATATTCCTTTTAAACATTTTCCTTCGTCTGTTCCAATACAACAGTCATTTTCTATCCTCTCTTACCCTATTCTTATCCCAACTCCCGATGGCAGACCTACTTTATAACAGTGGTGCTATGCAGTATTTGTCCTTTTGTACCTGAGATACTTAATTCAGCATGATGTCATCCAGGGTCCCCCATGTGGTGTAATGTTTTACAACTTCATTACTTTTCAATGCTGCACAGCATTTCATTGTATGAATATACCATAGTTTTTCTATCCATTTGTTTTTTGATGGGCAGTTGGGGTGTTTCCATCTCTTTGCTATTGTAAATAATGCAGCAATACACATGTGTGTGCATATATCTGTTTGGACGGTGATTATGGTTTCTTTAGAGTAAATTCCCAATAGTAGAGCTGCTGGGTCAAATGGTATTTCTACCTCCAAGTTTTTGAGAAAGGCCAGACCACCTTCCATAGTGATTGCACCATCTTACACTCCCACTAGCAGTGAAGAAAGACAAATCTATTCATGTGCTTTTGAACACTCTCAGAATACTGTCAAAACCATCTTAGCTTTAAGTTTAAAAAATAATAATAAATTGGCTTTGATTTTGCTTCAACATTATTCTTAACATTACCTGCACTGGCTTCTGTCCTCCTCCTAGAAAAATCAGTTTTCTCTTTCTGTCTCTGGCCCTACTTTTGCTCTAATTAATCTCAAATTGGTTATTCTAACACATAATCACTTTAATTAAAATATGTCACACATTTCCAATATTTTTAATCATTTTGGTGTTTTAATTTATGCTTGTTGTTATTGCTGTGTTTGTTATATTTGAATATTGCAGTGGTTGTTCAAAATATTCCTGGCCATCACAGCTTGATATCTGGAGGAAGGCCTATTCACAGTTGATTTTATACAAGTTTTAAAAAATGAAAATTTCTTTAGATTTTCTCCTAACCTTTCTAGTTTGTAGCTTGCCTTATCTCGGCTTAAGAAACTTCTTTATTTTATTTCACTGGTTTCACTGAAACTGATGAAGGTGGGTTATAGAGCATTTGAGGAGTGCTTAGTAATTGGTAGTCCCCCGTTAAAATGCACATCTGTGCCAGTGCATGTGGAGAGCCCATCAAGTGTGAGATCATGCAGCAGTGGCATCAGGCTGAGGGGTAAATGAAGGTAGCCATTTCCCTGCATCACCCATTGTCGCCTCCTCTTTTCCAGCCACTCAGTGCAAGCATGGTGCTGTGTATGACACATGTGGCCCAGGATGCATCAAGACCTGTGACAACTGGAATGAAATCGGGCCATGCAATAAGCCATGCATTGCAGGTTGCCACTGTCCTGCAAACTTGGTCCTGCACAAGGGAAGGTGCATCAAGCCAGTCCTTTGTCCTCAGCGGTGACCTTCATTCCGACCCCTAAGACTTTGAAATCCAGTGTCCACTGAAGTGGAAGAGCCAATGAAGGACTGCAGTATTTGTGTGCTAATTCTGCAAAGTACACGTAACAGAGTATATATGTGTACATATATATAGATATATACAAAAAAGCATTTCATCATTTATATAATAGGTGGATTATTATATGTATATTTTTTGCTATAAGACATTGTATTGTTTCTAGGATCCTGATCTGTAAACCATTGGATAAATTGTATAAATAAAACATGTGTTTTTAATTTAATAAGGTGGCATGCAGCATAGTGAATGGCTATGACATCCCATACATTTTGTCATTTTTTAAAAAGTTTTCTAAGACCCCCTAAACTGCCTGCCTGCATTAATTTCAGCTTTGAGACAGGATTTGCAGTTAAGTGGGAAATGTGGTTCTCCAGGGGAGAACGAATTTATGTAAAGGCATTTCATGTTTCTAAAGGAAGGAATGTGCGCCTAAATGTTGCCTGGTGATTGGTGACAGGCCCTAATGTTGCATGCAAGGGGATGGATAGGCTGCTTGACTTTATTGGGTCATGGTCTGATATTATTTCCAAATCTGATTGGCTAGCTTCCAAGAAATATATAGTTGTCACTACGGCATAACTAAAGAATCAAATGATTTCTTGCCATCTTTGTGTATTCCTGAGACTCCTAATTATATATGTGTGCTTGATGGATGTGGTCATTTATATGTCAAGCGTTGAGATTAAGGGGTGTCTAGATGACATGCTAATTTTATTGAACATGAGCAGATATTCAGAGAAACGTTTGTTTGCACAGTATATGGAGAAATTCCCACTGCTCTGAATCTCACAGCAATTTAGGATGAGCACATCCATTGAGTTGATACAATTTGATACAAAATCCATTTACATTTTGTGACTATGCCTTGTATGAAATGAAAATCTTTCCTTTTTTTTCCCTGGAAGATTCTGAGTCAAACATTGTTTGGCAACTGTTAATTTGTTATAATTGTTAAACAGAGAGAAAGACTTTAATGACCATTTGATTTATGATTAGTCCAAACCAAGTATGATCTGCTCTTAGTCATCAGCAGATTACTGCTACTCACCATATGATTTACCTGCCTTTTGTATGTGGTTGAATATGTGAAATGTCATCAAAAGCAAAACCCTTTTATGTCTACCAATAAAATATCCTGCATTGTACTAATAAAGAGCTGAAAACTTCAAACAATGTGTGTGTTAGCTTTTAGAAATAAGTTATATCAAAGCCAAGTTAGTCAAATGATGAATAGCATGCTATTTTTAACGTATTTAGATTGTTATTTAAATATCTTACAGTATTTCATTTTTATAAAGTCAGAGATGCTATCAAAACCAAAAATATTTTGACAGCCAGCAGATTACCACTGGTTGTTGAAGACATTTGTGCTTTTTAAAGTATATTCATGACAGCTAGAGAATCTCTAGTTAGTTGGATAAAATTAATATAAAACACAGATGCAATAGTGGCAGGCTTGGTTACGGGATCATGCTTTGTATCATTCTTGTTATTTGATCCTAAATTTTCCAGTGGCTATATAACCCTTCAGTGTTACATTTGAAAACAGTACGTTGATTTAAGAAATTTATGTCCTAGATCTAGTTTGAGATATTTATCCACATCACTTAGCCATTTGGAGCCATCCTGATCTGTGACATGATAATCATGAGACATAAACACCCAGACACTGGCTGGCTGAGTAGGGGATCATGGACAGGAATCTGCAGACATGGTCATACTTGTGGTCTCTTATTTCTCCTACTTTCCCAAATTTTGCCTTCCAGTCACGACCAGTTACTATTAATGCATCTTGATGGCATGTTTAATCAATTTTTGGCTGCAAAAGTCAGTCTCAACTTACTGTAATCAGGTCAGAATCAACCTATAGCTGATCCTCCAGTGGGTTTTCAGAGACTGCAAATCACAAAGAAAGGAGATTGTTCATTTTTCTTTTGTGGAGCAATTGCTTTGAGCAAACAGGGTTGTATCCTCTGCATAACTTAGGTTATTGATGTGTCTTCCTCCAAGCCAGAGGCCACATTCTTCTTCATAAAGTCCCACTTCTTGAATAATTGGCTCCACACAGAGATTGGTGGGTGCTGGGATACTGAATGCTGTGCCAGTTGTGGTGGTGATTGTGTACCCTCAAGTCAGAACCGACCCATAGTTGACCCTCCAGCAGGTTTTCAGAGATAGTCTATCACACGGGAGGAGATTGTCCATCCTTCTTCCACAAAGCCGCGTGCCTTTAGGATTACAGCGCAGTTTCTTAATTCAGGAAACTCTGGTGGACTAGTGGTAAAGAACTGTGCAGCCAACCAAAAGCCATGGTGTTCAAATCCAACTGCTGCTCTGATGAAGAAAAGTAGACAAACTCTTCCCATCTAATCTATGACCTCTAAGAACTCACCGGACTGTCCACTGTGGATCAGCTTCAATTTGATGACATATGTCAATAACCTCTATAAGTTAATATACGATAGCACATATGATTAAAAGTTGAAGGGAAGCTTTGGTGGCCTAGTGGCAAGAAGCTGTGCTGCAATCCTGAAGGCACACCATTCAAATCCACCAGATGATGCGCTGGAGAAGGAGGGGCAATCTCCTCCTGTGCCAGTTGGATCTGATTTGACAGTACACAATAAGAAAAGTTGAGGTAGGATTGTCCTATCTACATGTATCAAAGTCCTACTCTGACTATGCCAGGAACCCTGGATATTAAGTTTAGTGAACAAACATTTTCAATAAAGAACAAGTCAATTTGTTTATACATAGTTGCTGCTCACAGATACAGGTTCTTTCCCTGATTCCTGTGAAAATTAGAATGTTTGAAAACTCTGACCGAAGAAATTTCTGAAGAGAAAGAACTTGACTCTAACAGCCATTTTTATTAAAACTCTGCCACCCCGAGAGTCACCAACTGTCCCAGTCCAGACCCTTGAGTCCTCATCACACAGGTAGGATTTCTTGAGGGTCTGACCTCAGCCTTTAAAAAGTCTCTCCATTCAGGGGAAGTCGATGGGTGGGTGGACTCTCTCCACAGCTCTCATTAAATACAAACAATCTATTTCAACTAGAACAACTCGTTCAAATGAAATATTTAGACAGACAGAAATGGGCAGAGGATAATCTCATAAACATCCCTGAATACATCATCCTGATTGAAAAAAAAAATCACACACACAAAAAAACCCCAACAAACCTAGTAGGTGGCCAGTACATTTTTATTGAATAAATAAAAACTGGTGACACCCGGTTTCCCACTAAGAGCAGGACTAGGCGGAGTTCTTCCTTGTTCGGTTTCTGTTCACTTTGCCTCTCTTTGTCACTCACATTCATCGGGATCTGACAAGCATTGAGGAAGCGAGCCAGAAATCTCCTGATGTGGGAGAAAGAGACTGCTGTCGGGGACAGGCGCCAAGATATTTTAATTAGCTATCTCCTCCACACATAACCCTTAGGGGCAGGCAGAAATAGTCTCCAGTTCTAAATCCTGGAGAAAAAGCCTTTTCAGAACTCAGGATTGTAATTCTGACAAATTACATTGCTCAAATGGCCAAGAATAAACAAACCAGGAAATGAAATGAATGCGGATGATGACGAAGAGCCTGAGCTGAGACTCCAACATCTGCCCCTTCAGGGGCTTTTCTGGTTCCTATATAGGTTGAGTGTGTACTTAAACAATCTGAATGACAAAAACATCCGTAAGGCCCACCTCTACACAATGATTCTATTTAGCCAGTTTGGAAAGACTAAAGTGGGGGAGAAAGATGGGACAGTTATATTTAAAAATCTGAAATGTGTACGTAGGAAATAGCTTTGAATATTAATAATTTGAAGAGGGGGTTTTTAGGGAAGAGTGTGCACCTGGCTATGCCGGAAGCACTTTGACATGAAAGGAAAGGGTGAAGGAGATGAATTAAGAGACTGGAGAGCAGGGTGCAGGATGGGGATCTTAGAGGGTCTCTTAATCATGCTAATGAGCCTGGATTTTATTCCTAAGGACAGTATTTCTCAAAGCTTTTTTTATTTCCTGATGCCCTCAGGAAATAACATTTACCTGGGCATTGGAGGCTGCAGACAGGACAGCTTAGAAAGCACATCTGGGGACATGATAAGCTCTGTGTAACTGCCCAAGAATAGGTGGGTGCCCCATTTTACACACAGCTCCCCAGTTAGCTGTGACATTCAAGAGTGAAGCTGTGTTCTGGAGGTGTGGGCTGAGCTATTAGAGGTTGTGGAATGATGGACAGGCCTTTGGTTCAGAGAAACCAGGGGCAGAAAAGCAAGGATGGGAGTCCATCCAAAGAACAGGTAGGGGGAATCTGAGATAGCCCTGCTGAGAGATGGTGATCCATGGAAGTTAGAGGTAAAGCGTGGGTAGGCTTTTCTATGTCTGGTGGTAATGAATGGCACCAGCTCTGAGGGAGAAAAATGGGCAAACTGCTTCAATGTTATTCACAACCTCAGAAATCTAATGGAAGGTCATTTATGAGCCAAGATGACGAGGCCCTAATTTTTTTTCTCTCAGGCAGTGTGTGTGTGTGTGTGTGAGAGAGAGAGAGAGAGAGAGAGAGAGACAAAGCACAGGAAATAGATGTAAGAAATCTGTATTGTGAAACAAAATATATTTTCTGTGAGATATGTTAACATATCCCGAGCATTAAGATGAAGACATGATTCTTGTTAAAACAATCACAATCTTCTTAGGATCACAAGTTAGTCAATGACTTGTGGTCGACTAGGACACAGCTGGCAGGGAAATATCAGGACACTCAAAACCCAGCCAGTTCCAACTGATGGTGAATCCGTGTGGGACTGAATAGAACCACAGTTCAAATACAGAGTTTTAAATGGCTGATTTTGTTTTAGAAGTAGACCATCAGATTTTCTCTGATGATGTCACTAGGTGAACAAAAATCTTCATAACTAGGACAATAAGCAACACTGTGAGAGGTGGGGAAAAAGATTGAAATTGTTAACAATTTCCCTCTGCTTGGATCCATAACCAATACCTATAATACTAACAGAAAAGGAAGACCCTGGATGAGATGGATTGACACAGTGACTAGGGAGTAAGAGTAGGTGTGTCAGAGACAGTGAGATTGGCTCAGAATAGAGCAAGATTCAGAGCTATTGTGCATAGGATCACTATGCGTCATAGTCAACTCGATGGCACATAACAACAGTAGTAGTAGTAGTAGTAGTAGTAGTAGTAGTAGTAGTAGTAGTAGTAACTATCAAGAAATCAAAAGAAGTGTTGGGGACCTCTTAAAAGTACTAAAGAGTAAGGATATCACTTTAAAGTCTAAGGACAACGTAACCCAATCAATAGTGTTTTTAATTGCTTCCTGTACATCTTACGGTTGGACAATAAATATGGAAGAGCAGAGAAGAATTTATATTTTTAATTTTGGAGTTAATGGAAAACATTGCATACATTGTAGATTG